CATAGATACTTTATTATGGTATAGTATTTAAATATATGCCTGAGAAACACATAATATTGGCCCTTTAAAGATTTGACCAAAAAGAGCTAGGATACAACACGAATAGCAGCAGGCAGTACACGATCTTTAACTGATTTTATTCCTAAAACCGAAAAGTAAACAATGTTTTTCTTTGGACTTTAGGCATAAACAGAATGACCCGTTCCTTCTCAGTGCTGACTTTTCTCTTAGTGAATAGTTAATAGTCTTTGCTCCCAGAACAATGATGTCACCGTGCTCCAAACACAATATGAAGTGGCAGCACAAACACTTGCCCCAAATGTTCCATTCCTTATCTAGTTCTCGGCCGTGTAAGCGTCTGCTCGAGGATGAAACGGTGTCACACGGATCCAAACAAAATAAATTCCTGCCCACTGTCTGTGTTCAGACATAAACACAGGACTCGCGCTCAGACTTTCCTGGGTTGTTTAGCCCGTGACCTGCTTTAGTGTGCGCCTCCTCTGAAAACATGCCATGATTTCTGAGTTTTGGCAGATGGGTAAAGGTCACGGGTCTCTGAGTCGTGGAGAGAGGCAGAGGTGAATGTAAACAAGAGGGAGACAGGGAAATGTGAAAAGAGATGTCTGCTTGGAAGCCCGGAGCTGTTCTTACTCGTGTTGCCTGGTTTGTTTGGACAGCAACATGATGTAACTCAAAGCCATAAAACGTAAATTAAGATCTATCTGATAACCTCAGGATGTGAGAGACTGATCAAGCCGGGATTGTCCACGCTTTACGTGGGTGTTTCTCAACAAGAGAAGCCCTGATCAGGTCTAAATTGTCTCTTTTGCAGACCAGTCAACAGAGGAAAAAAAATAAATAAAAATGGGCTGTGTTCCTTACATTGACCCTCCATTGAGATCTCCTGCAGGTTGTAGTCTTCTTGCTGGATTGATTGCTCTTCCTCTTCCACAGAATCACGATAACTGCTGGGGAAGTGAGTCCTCTTGGCTGGCTGAGAGTTTTGGTAGAGAGGTCGGGTCGCGACAGAGCTCAGGAGCAAGAAACATGTGGCCAGAACATCCCATAACTTCATCTTAGACTTGGTTCCTATGAAGAAAGCTGCACAATCAAGCAGATGCATCAGTGTTCTGTGTTATGGGGTGCTTTATTTAGCACTTTGCAGCAAAGCAAACGGATTAGAATAAAATTTAGATTTTTCCAAACAGCTGGCCAAATTTTCACTGAGGTCAGAAAGTAGCCTAACTCGGTGTGTGTGTGTGTGTGTGTGTGTGTGTGTGTGTGTGTGTGTGTGTGTGTGNGTGTGTGTGTGTGTGTGTGTGTGTGTGTGTGTGTGTGTGTTTTCAACACAAACCTGAAGACTTGAATCACTCCATGTAAGTCAAAATATAACGTGAGAAGAAATTCGGATCCAGAATGCGTAAAATTGCGCACAAAAGAGCCTAAGAATCCAAACAGTAGTTGTGCTTAAACCACATTTTATTTCCCCTAGTTGTCTAAAATCACGTTTGTTTAATATCAGCTAAGCTTTTGCTGTTTGCAGTGGGGCGCGGAGGGTGCGCCTCACACAAAAATGCCTCGGTTAAAGCACGCGCCGTTGCGTTTTGGCAACGATAGCCTAAATATTGGTGTGAGTTGGCCAGATGGCGATCCCCAAAGCTTACGTGACTGAGTCTAGTGGCATGTTGAGTCTCCAGTAAACCTAAACAGCTATGCATGTAAATACAGGGTTTAAACATAAGCAAAAGTCCAAATCCATCCATATGTCTATTTTTTGGCTACAGGACGCGTTTGCGCGTACCGATAATCAGAATTAATTATGTTTTGTTTTATAACGTGAAACCATAAAAGTTAGAGATATATTCTTACCTTACATATTTCCCATGCAGACCTATAAATCCAAACAGAAAATTCATCGAGTGTCCCAAGTTGACTCAAGCTGCGTAAATCATGACGGGAAAATGTCCATAAGACGAATTCAGAATTAGTCCAAATAAGGAAGGTGGGTGGAAAAACTGCAACATTGAGACAGATATATTCGTTTGTTTGTTTGTTTTTTTATATTCCAGGCGCAGCAAACAAACCGTGCTCTCCAAGTCCGGACTCTTCAGTCCAAGGCTGCTCGGTGCTGGAGAACAACTCGCTTCTGCGCCCTCACGGAGCACAGCTGCAGTCGCTGATTAATTGGATGCTACGTTTCCACGTTGGAAATCCGAGACAGGTCCACCATCTCGAACTGAGAGGAGTCCAATGAAGACTTCGGCGTCTTCAATAGATCAAAAAGACGCTTCAAACTGTTTCCTCCCTCTCTCCAAAACGCTCCTTTATCCACCTTGCATTAAACCTTTAAATTATCCAGTGTTTTACGCGGATCTCGTCGTCGTAAAAAAATACAAATCTAAAAGAAAATTGGGGTGAATAGTCTCCATTTTTTCCCCCTCGCCGGGTCAGTGTTTATTTGGTTGTCCACACGCTGTTGTCCTCATATTGGAATAAAGAGCAGGACAGATGTCTGCGCACAGCACCGCGCCGGGCGCACAGGGCTGTTTTGGAGAGATTTATAGCTCAGTGCGCTCTGACGTTTTGGGGGTTGCAGTTGGTGTCCGCCCACTCTTTTAAAGATCCCCGCGAGCGAGAAAGAGAGAGAGAACAAACAGTGAGTAAAACCGAGGTGCTCAAATCTCCCCCCAAAGCACCCCCGGAGCCTTGTTTGGAGGAGCGCGGTTTTCAGATGACTCGGGGATTATGTCACACAATCCTGATGTCCTCGGATTAGGTTTCAGAATGCGGAATGCGATTTGGAGATGTTGTGTTGCGGCGCGCATTCTTCTCAACCCGATCTCCGCGCGCCGTGCGCCCAGTGTCGGGTTCCCCCTCGTGCCTACTCACATCTCGAATGCAGGACCTTCGCTTGCTTTTTGCGTGTGCGAATGGGCGAGCTTTTAAGGAAACTCTGTAATTTGCGCGTAAAAGTGGCGCACCTGAGGAGAAAGCTGCGCCCCTCGCGGTTTTACAAGCTGCGGCCGGCCTTTCATCTCTCTGCAAAACTGAATTGCACTCTCCCTTTCGTCTTAAAGAAAAAAAAAAGTTCATTTTGTGTTCCTGCGCCAGGAAACCACAACTTGCTAAAGAAACTCCCTGGTTATAATTTTTTTTTTTACACGCAGCTGTAGAATAAAAGGATGGAAATCCTCGCTCTGACACCTTAAATCCACGCAGACTTACCTGTGACTCAGTGGCATGAAAAGCTTACATTTGTTTGCTTGCAATCTCAAAAACGTCTTGTTAATACATGTTGCTTTTGAGGCCATTCCCTGCGCCCTGCCCGTCCCTGCGTCTGCGCCAAGTCCTCATGATATGGATCAAGTCCTCACATGGTTTCATTGAGTTACTCGCAAATGATTTTTTTCCCCTTTAGACTGAGATCATCTCACATTGAGAAATGCTGAAGTCAGTCTCATGATATCGCGAGACGACTCAGCTACTACCACACCACATTTTACCTCCATATCTATAAAGTTGGAACCGTTTTTGTTTTAGTTAATACTATTTAGCTGTGATAACCTTGAACTGGACTGGCTCCATTAGTTAATGAGTTGTTGTTGCGCTTCTAATGATTACTCTCTGCAAGTTTCATTAAAATCTGCCCAGCTTTTCTTGAGATATTTTGCTAACACACAGACACAAACAGGAACATAATGCATTTGCTTTTCAGTCGATAAACACAGTCCTTCAAAAGAGATACAACAGATGTACAGAAACAGCTCATGGTCAAGTTTTAAATTCCTAAAAGGAAACGCCTTTTGCTGCGTTATGATGCTTTCACTCAACACTTCAGTTGTATTAATATGAAAAGAAGAAAAAGAATGGGACTATTACAAAGTTTTGTTGTTGCCCTGCCAGTGCATGCTGGGAGAGGCTCTGCACCACCAGAAACAGGAACACGCAGGTAAAGAAGTGAATGAAAGAAAGTCATCTTTTCCACTGTATAAACAAACCCATCAATGTGAAGCCAGGTGCCGTTCAGAAGAAATGAATAAAAGCCTGACAGCAGAGGAAGAGTTTTCAAGATGGTATGTCTTTTTCTTTTGTGTTGATTCAAAGTAGAAGAAAAAAAAATCCAGAGTTACTAAACAACCTCTGGAGCAACAAGATTCCGCTGAACCTATACAATACAATTAATTACACAAAATATTGGTGAATCACATGATTTGAGCCTGTGACACACGTGGAGGGAAAAAAAGTCGTTCATGACTTGAACCAACTGCATAAGCTAGCTTTGAAGAAACAGATTCCATATTTTGAAATGTTTTTTATATATTATCAATAATCAATATCTTACCTGCAGCAGAAATTGCTCACAACATTGTCAGCTTTGAATAGAAATACATCCTTTGATATTTAATGCTAATTTGAGTGGAGCCAAGATCAAAGCAAATGTCTGCCATCTTAAAACTACTTCACTCAACAATTCCAGTAGGATTTTAGCAAATGATAATGTATAAAACTGTAAACCCAGTCATTTTTGCAATAGATGTTTTATTTAGGTGGAAGCCCTGGGTTATTCAAACTGATGACCAGTCCTCCATTACAGATCCATCTGAAACTTATAACATGATTTGTTTCATTAATACTGCACTCTAACAGTGTTCTAGCTAATCGTTCTCCAAATTAAAGTTTGTTCCATTGTCTTCTAGTTGAGCAGAATAGCTGGACAGTTAGTCAAATTTGGTGATGTCATCTTGGCCACTGATGGGCATTTCACACGATGAAAATTTACACGACAAAGTTTTTACTCTGTTATTCATATTGTTCTGGGTGAGGACAACTCAACGCAGTAATGTTTGCTGGTGAAGCTGAATGACATTAAATTTAGGTTAACACATCAACAAAACTCAGTTTGCTATTGAAAACCATTATTTTGGTTGGATAGAAATGCTTGTCAGCAGATATTATCAAATCAGGTAAAAAAAAAAAACGTTATCAAAGGTGCACATGTCTGCAATGAATGATGTTTCTAACAGGCAGAAGCTAACCAATGAAAATATTTATATTGAATTCTATGCAGACATCTAAATTGTTTACATTGACCCTTCCAATATGGTGTTGCGCTTGTTTAACAGTGGTCAGTCTTCTGAAGTGTGTGTGACGCCTCTATTCTATATACCTCATTGTGGTACAAGAGACATAAAAGTAACTTAAAGGAGACATTCTTTTAAATCCTACTTTTTCACATTTAAATCGCATTGGGGTTTTGGAGCCAGAGTCTGAGCCAGAGGCGAATGAAGACCACCAAATTGTAGTTGGTAAGTCCAAACCTTATTTAGAAGTTCGGTCGCAAATAGTTTGATGTGTTCAGAAGATAGAGAAAACTGAACAAGTTGAAAAATATGACCCAAACAGTATATAAAGATATCTTTGCAGCACCGGGAGACAAAGTTCAAATTTTCTGCACTCCTACAGACTCTAAAGCCTACTTCACACACCATCCAAACTGCTGAAATAGGCTCTGATTGTTGCAGTTTCATGACAAACATTACATCGCTGTGTTCTCTGCGCGGACTCAGCTGCCTCTTTTGTCACAACCCGCCGGAGAACTTTTTACCTCCCTCCACATAAGAACTTATTGTATGATTGGTCAGAAGTTTGTGGGAGTGTTTGAAAGCCTGGACACTGCATTTTGCTTCAACCACTTCATTCCATAAAAAAATCTAAATAAAAAACAACTCTCTTCCAAAAGTCGTAAAATATGGGGAATCAGATATTTCGTAAAGATAGTCAAATTGCTAAATAAATAAATAAATAGTCAAACAGCCAGAAACTCATGGATGAAGATAAACCAAACATTGTGCATGGAGGAATCTGTCTGATAAAACTCGTGGAGCTTTAACTGAGACAGATTTGTGCACAAATAAGTTAGGGTTAGGGTTAATTGGGTGACAGGTTTTGGATTTAATTTCCACATTGTGACCTCCGATGGGAAGAAATCCCGTGCAGTGATACACACCGCAGCAAGAGGGGTTTCCCAGGAGCTCAGCATTGTGTGTCTCGGGGACTATGAATTGTGCGTGCGATGCGAAAACGAACGCCGAACGACCACATGACCACACATCACCTGGTCAGCTTCGGAAGGAGTGTGTTCAGGCCTTAAATACACAAGAAAATGTATTCAACAGCTAAAAAACGTTGATTTTGCATTTCCCTTCAATGAAACCAACATAAACATAAAACACACAATTTGCTCACCGAATATTTGACTTCCTAAAATGTATTACGTTAAGCCCAGGAATGTAATTGTGACAGATGTTTCCCATATTCTTCCACGTTAGCTCGTAGAAGCTGGTGTTTGAGACAATCTTTTCATGGCAGACAGAAGACCGTATTGTTCCTGAATATCTTCAGACTGGTCACCAAAGAAGCCCTCTGTGGCCGCCCGCTGCCTCATCCAGACAGCCGTGAAGATAATGTGGAGCGAAAATAGATCCATCTCAGATGGTTCCTTTATGCGCGAGCTCTGCGGGTGCCATAGGTCCCATGAGCTGAACACTTGAGGGATTATAGTAAATATGAAATTGTCAGGAGGAGAAGCATGAGTAAGTTGAACGAATCACCACCACACGGGGTGACGAGGAGACGTATCACTCGTGCAGAAAGGCCTTCTTTTATTATTTGCGCCATCATCGGGGCAAGCACCGTAATTTTTTGACCAGCTCACTGACAGAATCATCACAGAGTTTATGTGAAAATACAAGTCTCCCACAAACAATCCAGATCACAACATCTGGTTCAATTTAACTTCAAACTGTGAAAAAAAAATAATAATGTGAAACACATGTCCCACATGGCAAAGTGTTTTTGTTGTTCTAAAACATAATCCTGCCTCTTTGGGTGGGATATGCCCCATCCACAATGATCATCTTTTCTAAAAATTATTGCACTTAATGATAGAAAATCATGTAAGAAACCACTGTCGTTTACTTTAACGAGCTCTGCCGCACATTATGTACAACAGAAGTGGAACATTTAGTCTTCAGATGTCTTCTTGGGGGGATAAATTGTCATAACACACAATGTGTGGCTGTGTGCAGTAAATTTCACTGTATAAACAAAATCAACCAGAGACTAAATGAAGACAAACAGCTGACGTGCTGATTCTCAAACATCTCTGCAGTTAAAAAGAAAACTTGTCTCAATTTTCCTCTCATGAAACTTGACGATAGCCTTAGTTCATGTTAGTATTAGCTGTTTTACTTGTAAAAGAAAAAAGACATGCTCAAAATATTATAGTCTGATTCACTAAAAATGCTCTGTGTCTGCATTTAGCTCCAAATTTTGAAAACTTTATTTGCTACTGGATTCAAAAAGCAAAAGTACTAAATAGAGCAGGGGTCAAACTCATTTTCACTGAAGGCCACAAGAACAACATGGTTACCCTCAAAGGTCCAATTGTAATTAGGGTGTACTGGGGATTGGGGGTAATTATGTATATTCCAGGATCATAGTTCAATTCTATACCACAATCTAGTAACTATATTACTTTCAGTTGTTTTGAAATTGCTGTATATATCAAAAATAAATTTGACTTTACATCACAGTCTATCTAAACATCTTGAAATTGCATACTTAAGAACCTCCTACCATTTCCAACATTCCCACTTCAGCATGTCTTCACCACAATGTTTCAAGGAGGGGTGCTCTGTGGGGAGGTAGCTCTTGTGTAACACCCCAATTTACTTTAAACACTTTATTTTTACAATGACTAAACACAAAACATCACTTTCCTCATCTCATTGCTACGGATGAGCACTGCACTGCACAAACAACTAATTTGACTAAGGCTGCGCTTTTTTGCGCAGGAGACCTTGGCCTCTAAATCCCCCGCTCCCCTGCTGTGAGCCACATAGTGTCTATTATTATGCTAAAGAGGCGCACGCACACCTAGAGACACACCTAACCCTAATCACTGCTCACCTACATGTCCACGCTCAGCCCAACAGTGTGCTCCTCCATATCCGGGTCACGGCACCAGAATGTCC